TTCCCCTACTAGGGAGCAATTTCACATAAACATTACAATCAGCAGACAATACCTTCTGAACGAAGGTCTTCATATCACTAAAAGACCACCATACTGGAATACCATTCACAAAGACTCGTCGTGCTTCCACATGGTTTCTATCATCTGGTGAAGTAGCAGTCTCAGCAACATTCAACTCCACATTAGTAGCAGTCTTCTTAGGAGCAGGGTTCTTCTTCGTAGGCACCGCTTTAGATGTAGCTTTGAACTTATTCATACTGCTCTTATCATCATACCTCACCGATAAGCGGCTCCACTTCTTAGCCTCCTCAACCATCATATCATAGGTAGCACAAGAACCCTTGGGTAAACTATCAACATACTTCTGAGCTTCAATGGGTAGTCCACCATACAGACGACCACGTAGCTCAACGTCGGATAATTCCGAACCACGCTGATAGACCAGCTGATCACGAATACACTCTAAATCAGCAATAAACTGTTCTAGTTCCGTAGGACTACTACAAGATAGAGATTCCCACCGAGTTGATAGAGAGAGTTCATCAGACAGATCACTATAAGATTTTAATACTGACCATGCAGTAACCAACCTCTCCTTAAACGAAGTATCACCATTCTTTCTACAAGTATTTGTAATGAGCTTCTTGATAGGAACAGTCACATTTGCTGTAATATAGAAGAAGACGAATGCCCACTGCTGCTCAGTAGAAGGACCAAACTCAACTTCAGGGGTATCCAATATCATTCTTCTAAACGCCACAAAACCTCTCTCATCAGTGGTTCCCTGATAAAGCCCACCTTCAATAGTGCCCATAGCCTTGGCTCGTTTAGAAGCCTTAGTAACATCAAGAGCCTTAACCTTGGGTCCAGAACCAAAGGTATGCAACTCTTGGGAACTTATCGACACCACAGTATCATCAGGATGATTGATCTCATCAATCATCTTATCAGATCCCGAACCAGTACCAGGCTTCTGCTTAATATCTATACCATCACTACTACTCTTCTTATCATATTTAGAATCATTCTGGGTCTCAGTAGATGATGTCCTCGCAGATATACATAACTTAATCTCCTTTAAAGCTTCTGCTAGAGAGTCCACTTTAGATCCCATCTCCTTCATCTCATCAATATCATGTTTGAGCTGCCAAGCCCAAACTGGAGGATCATTTATAGCAGACACAACTTGAGGAGATTCTTTAGGATCTTGAACAGTCTTCTTATCTGAGTTCACCATAAGTCGTTGGTCTCAAGCTTCTTCTCGGATGATTGTACAGATATGAACTCAGAACACAAGCAGTAATACTAGTAGAAGAGGTACTGGAGTAACCGTTCAACCACTATCTTAATTTGTTTACTTATAACAACTAACAGCCGTTTCAAACTAGCGTACATAGCGTAACGCTAAAGCTAAAGTATCTACACAATAGGATATAACGAGATTGCAAGTGTCAGCATCACAACATCAACACATCATAATCACAGGATACCAGAGCAGCTAAAATGAAAACACCGGATCTCGTCACAAGCCTGAGGGCCTCAGGGCTCCGTGATCAAGCTGATGGCAATGTTGTAACAACTTTGTTGTTACGGCATCGGTGTGCACCACCATTCTCATAGCTCTCCCGGAAGGTTGCAGCTCACCCCACCACATTAATGCATCAATGTATGCGCGGAATGTTAGTCAGCGCTATGGGGTGTTTCGCCGTACGTCCTGAACGGCTCAGGTTGATCCACGAATGGCCAGCCTTAAGGGTATGGGATGCTCGTTGAGTTGACTTCCAAGCGCGGAACTTCATGTGTTATTGAGAGATCTGCTAGCTGTATTGTAACTTGATAATATTAGCTGATATCAAGTTGATATCAGTCGACATGCATCCCAATAAACTCGAATGTTAAGAATCATGTGTGAGAATCGGGATGCTACAGTGTAGCCCTGAAGAATACCGCTAGACCTGCAGCATTGGGACTCGCACCAGCGGAAAAAACAGCTCCCTGTTCCTCGTCAGGAGCTAGGCCGCTTGGAGTATTCAGCTGATCCGTGTAATCCTCGCCGTTAATCTTGGCTAGGGATTCCTGCACGAGGTGGTCAGGAACTCTCAACTGTTGATCATTGCCGTCGAATCAGCGAACCACCTACACCTCGAGTTGGTACTGTCGGTACCGCGAGCGGGAGGAGCGCCGATCCGACCGGGTCTCCTGATGATGAGGAGATGACCCCACGAGAGGATGATCCTATGACTCAGTCTCAATCATTCAGGGCATGGGAAGCATATAGTTACCTCCTACATTGATTTAC